AATTTTATTTCGGTTATTTGTGTGTTCTGAAGAAGTGATTAACATCAAGTCACGAAATGTCAGAAATACAATTTGCTACTCATTGGGATATCACAAAAAATATATTTATCATTAACTTTCTACCTAATTCTAAATTTATTTGAAAATATCAAGTCCAACCACGGCAGTGTATCCAGTTTACATGTGGAAATTGGGGATTTTAGTTAGATAAACGAAACATGTAATTTTGTGAAATGTATCCAGAAAAAACTTTTTGATTCAGAGAAATACCGTGATTGTATGTGGAAACAATATAATGTATTCATGACCTACTGGATTGAATATTGTTCATATCATGGAATTATAAAAACCAGGAATTATCATAACTCATAGCAGAATAGATGTAGCTTTTGAAGACAACATAGAATGAAACGAACTTAATAAATCAGACAAAATAGTAAAAAACCAGCTATAAAGTGAAATAAAAAACCAGCTACTTGACAAAGCTATAGTAACAAGCTTTATGATCTCTTATATCACCAAGTAGTAGCAATGAATCTATACATCCAGTGACGTCAACATGATAATCACCGAAAACCAAATGGCACTCAACAGCCACTTCATCACAGTTTAGACTGTTACTTGGTATAAACCAACAACCTATCACAGGATACAACCAGTAAAGAAACGACTTGTTATTCAGCAGGAGTCTACCTCCAAACAATCACATAAATAAATGAGGCTAGATTAATAGATTCGTATAACACTAAACAAGGAAGAATCTCAATATGAATACATCAATGATTACTCATCAAATAAACTTCGAAAATTGAAATCATAAATGTAATATCTCTGAATAAAACTTATAGTAACCAGAGGTAGTTGTGACAATCTTGAGATAAATTCAAAGAGGGACAGACTTAAGAAGTAATTGTTAAGTTCACTCTTATTCACGAATAATGAGATGACTGTAAGAATTTCCCCCACCATTGCTGTTTGAACCTTCATATAATGTAAAATTCATATCTAACAATAATATTCTTAAAACCATTCATATATGAGAGCTTTAAAGTTTATTGTAAGTAACTCTATATCTATAGATTCGCGTCAACACTTGTCTCGATTCCGGTAGTGGGCATATTGCATTACATGAGTTACTAGTAATAAAACATTAATATGATTCGAAATTATGTGATACTTCCAAGACCGTAATCAAATAACTTCATGAAATCGGTTCCCTTAATAAATGTTTGTAAATCAAGAATGATGAACATTGTGTAGTGAATTGAGTTCACTTCTTTTTGTGAACAATAAGTCAATCACATACATACTGATTTGCGCAAATAAATGAAATGTTTTACGATTGTAATTTAATCTGTAACACGTAAAAAATTCATTTGGTTCACTAGTGAGAAGAACGCATTGTAAATACTTTCTACTTTCATACAAGTTTAATACATAAATCGAAGGATTAAACCAAAATGAGATCATAACATAATCGGACATAAGAAACATGTTCAAGTCAACATAATTACGATAGACAAAGTCGTGTAAGTGGTAGTAGTTACTAAAAAGTACAATATTGGATTAATTTTAATAATGATAATAATAAATTATTAGTGATAATATTATTTTTAAATGGCATGAAAAAAGAGAAAGTAGTTGCATATCCAAATTGATAAGGAGTTAAATATTTTATTGAATAATGGTGAAATAATATGACTAATTGTAATAACTATTAATTGAAAATGATATTAAAACTGAACTAAAATGAACAGTCCAAATGTTGTGATTAAATAAAGACGAGGCCAAGCAAATAAAACCAATAAGATAAAGGGAAGGGAAGCTCAACATTCAGTTGATCATCATGGCAGCGCCAGGTGAAACAAAAGTTTTAGAGGACGAAAACCGGGTGATTTTTGACAGTTGAATGTACAATTAAATAATAATTTATAATTTTATTAGGTAACTTATGCATTAATAGTATTTGAAATGATTTTCTCGCCAAAATGAAATTTTATTCATTTTTACTTTAAACAACGGTCTTACACTGCAATTAAACTTGACTGGAAAAAGAACCTAGAATATGCTGTACAGCCTTGAACTCAATGAATGCTTCCTAGAAAAGAAAAAAATTACATTACTCCGTATTCATTACGCGAGTCAGGCGAACAAAATAATGATTATCATCTTTCTAAAAAATACGAGGATCGTTTACTAGTCCATATTTCCCAATTATTTGTTTTGTTTTCAAGATATAAAAAACACTTATTGCATATCAAGTATTTTAAAAAAGTTGAAATTTACAAACAGAATTAATAATGATGAAAAAACTGAGCGAAATAACAAAACTTGGGGACATTGAACATAACTATGTTTTTTTTCTAGATCGAATAGTATAAATAGCAGAGAGCTGGATTCAGAAAGTTGACCAACATGAACGATCAAAGTATAAACCTGAAAGTTATAGAATTGTTTTCATACAAATAATGAACCTTTGTCTGTACTTTTCTTATTGAAGCCGAAAATTTTTGAGTTCGATTGCTTCCAAGGTACTGGCAAAGCTAGACTTCCATAATACAATTAAAAAGCTGTAGAGTACAAAACAGAGTGGTGCAGCATCCAATAAGTGGTTGTAGAAGATCTTAGCAAATATAAATGACAGCAACTAAACAGTTATACTTAAAAATCCTGAGTCTAGTTATCATGCTATATATTGAAACGATTCGATGTGGAATGTAAGCTGTAATTAACATAGGATTTTGAGCATACATATTGCTTCAGCTTGCCTTACTATATCGAGATGAAATTCTCAAAATTGGTTTGTAAAAATACAGAAAACTATGAGCTAGCTCAGAAACCTAGGACATAAAGCAGAAACAAGTGAGTGCACCTGGGCAATTCAAACCGATTCTATGTCTTAATATATAGAGTCTCCAAAGATTAGTTGTGGTAATTGCGTTAAACTCAGCTAGGCAATCTGCACATAACCAAAAGGCTTGGACGAACAGTCAATAAATACGTAGATCTATGAAACGTCTAGATTTGATAACATATGGGATTTTTAAGGCTTATATGTCCAGGAAGACGGAGGCTGTCAATAAAAACTAGACGTTCAAACTACAATCGGACGAAGATTGACCACCGAATTATATGATATTAAAGCAAGTGGAAGGATGCATAGAAGGATAATTAAGCAGCAATTAAATCTATGGGAAAGAAAGAACCATGAAGATCAGTAGCATGAAAAATGAGAAAAGTCTACAATAAGTCTCACAAACTGAACTCAGAATGATGACTAGTAGAACACATATTACACTATCATAGGAACAAATACCAATATATAGGAATCTGAAAATTGTTTCGTTTTGAGACTTTATAGCACTACAAATCAGCCTTTTTTCTTAGGCGTTTCTTATCTTGAACTATGGTAGATCGACGTCCCGGAGGATGAACATTAGGTTTTCCCTATTAAAAGATATAAACCCTACGCCGAAAGGGAGTGACTACAGCACTGATTGGACAGGAACTTAGTAGAAATATAAGAGAATCCTGGGTATTTTCATAAACCCATTTAATCTGTGGGAGAACAGAAGGCTCGACACCTCGTTTGAGAGCCCTTCTGGAATAACCGTTTCAACTGTTGAAACGTCACCACTAAAGCTACGGACTACACCAGCTAGCCCAGTACCTGTAACTTACATGACATATTCTTATTATATGGTCAAAGTTTCACATTAGCTACTGATATGCTAGATGTGCCACAACGATTCATGTCATTGCTCGATATCTTTACCCATTATATTTAGTATTAATCATGAGGGTTAGAGTTTCCCACTTACAATGAATAACACGATAAATGATGATGTAAATTAACTCTACATTTTAAGACAGAGCTTAGGTTGAACTACGGTAGAATGGTACAACCAACGTTACTCAAGTACTGATTGTTTCATTAAGTCTTTTCCAATTTAATTTCTTTGTAAACACTATCGAAAATATCATAAATCCTAGAATAAGTAGATCTAGTTTGCAGATGGATTACTATAATGAACAAATCAAATAAAAACCTAAGATGCATACATTTGTGCCACAAGTCAATATGAAAATTCATATCATGATGCTGAACAACAAGTGGGAAGAAAGTAGATATGGGGTTATTACATAATGTCATCAGATGATATAAATTTATTTAGAGAATACAAAAGCCAATGGACAATTCACTTAAACATTTGTTTTGTTTTAAAAAAATCTCTAAACACTACGAGAAGTCAAACTATTCACATCAGAGTATAAGTCTTTTAACTACAGTAATAAATGGAAAGAAAGAGATATCATGTGCTAATTAAATAACAGTAGATGCACTGAATGTTTGCCAGAGTATTTCGTCCTGGTTACACTAATTCTAGTACAATGAACACGTTTTGAATATGATCACATTGATATTCCGAAATTATATATAGCCCGGTGAGACGTTAAAATGCTTATCTCAGAGAAATATGTTTCGACACTTGGGCATGTGAAAGTTTAAAGAGAACTCATAGCGATCATAGTAAAGGCATTTTATTTTAATATTTAGGTACTGATAGTTTAAAAGGATCCACACTTGATTTGCGAATATCGAAGCTATTTAAGCATGAGTTTTGTGAAGAGGCTGTCATCATAAGACCTAAGTGAAATCCAATGACTAATTTCAAATGTGTGCAAAATTTAGAATTGATTGAATTAACTTGAACAAACAAGCTTCCACACTTGTAAGTTCAATCAGTCCAGTTGAAAAAAAAAAGGATGTGCGAAAATTCATTGATAACTTTGATGTATGCAAAATCACATTAGTAAAATGACGGAGAGAGGATTCCTTTTTGAAATGAAAAGATTTAAGACATCAGGAATTCAGTCAATATACTGTTGACTAATTTCGCGTGTTGATAGAAGCTTCTTTTACTTCTATCTGGACTGATTGAACTTACAAGTGTGGAAGCTTGTTTGTTCACGTTAATTCAATCAATTCTAAATTTTGCACACATTTGAAATTAGTCATTGGATTTCACTTAGGTCTTATGATGACAGCCTCTTCACAAAACTCATGCTTAAATAGCTTCGATATTCGCAAACCAAGTGTGGATCCTTTTAAAGAAGGTCTAAGTGGTTCCTCTGAACAACCAACTTTCAATGCATATCCCCTCGAATCTTCACCTAATTTGCTTATTCCTACAAATGATGTGATATATATGCCATTAAATCCCACAAATGTGCCTTTGTCGCTACAACGTGCATGTGCCTCTAATGAGACTGTAGGCGGTGATACGCAGAGTTACAGCCATCCAATATGCCATGGCTTCATTTTTCCAAACTCAGAATTGAGTGCAAATGATGCTGAATTAAACCAGATAAACATTCCGAGTATGCAAAACCATATCAATGATGTTTCTTACAATATGCCGAGCCAGAGTTCGAGCAATGTGGACACAAATGCTCAAAAACACCTTCAACTCCTGTTGCTTCAAAAGTTAATTGAGTTGCAGCTTGCCGAACATTATAACTCACTTAAAGATACACTTGTATTAACTAAAGACTCCAATAATGAGTCTCAAAATTCTAAATTACAGCCCTGTTTTGTCAAAAGCTCCGACTTTGATGCAGGTTCCAACCCAGTTTCAACCGTAAATAACGAGAATTCAGATATGTCGACATTTTTGGTCCCTGTAAAAGCCAAGTTTGAGGGCGAAAGTGGTTTGTCTTTACACATAACTCCAAGGGACGACATCAGTCATCCAACCCAAGGAAGTCCAGTCACCGTAGCATACCCGAGTCAACCAATCGTCTTATATCCATTTTCTGTTCAACAAGATAATTCTACGGAAGATACATTCCCATCCAGCCAAGCCGTGCCTGATGCGTCCTCAGGTGGACCAACTGCTCAAACATTTACGATGAAGGACATAGATCACTGTATACGGAGAGGTTCTCTGGATTTTCCTTCTGAGCCAAGCAACGACATAGTTGAGAGTATACGAGGCCGTACGAGACCAGGGTTTGTGTTGTTAAGCGTTCGGCATGAAAAAATCAACTCAGAAAATAAGGTCTCACCAACTTCTGAGAAAAATTTCCAGGAGAGTTATCCTCCTATTTCAACATCAGCCAGTCTTGAGACAAAGAAGGCGAAAAGTATCACCATATCTAAAAAACTACCTAGAAAGAGATTGAAGCATATGAAAAGCGATGCAGAACTCAAAAAGCGACCCCTAAAAAGTTCGTCTAAATCTCTCCTAAAACGCTCTGAAAACGCTGAAATGTCTCCGACTCCGGTAGAACTTACAGAGGATGATCTTAAAGCTTTATCTCCACAGTCAAGATTTCGAGTGACCAGGTTTGCAGACAAAAAGCAAGCCTGGATAGCTCCTGCAAAGGCAGGATTCACTGTCCATGATTTATGGACAACTAAACTTCCGGAATATGTGTTAAGATGTGCCGAGCACCTAAAAATATCAGGCTCTGGTTTAAATTTACAACAAGAAAAACTTACTGAAATTCCATATTCGTTGGACGATATTATAAACGGACATTGTTTGGCCTGCGAGAAATCACCTCGTAAGTTTTATATTTTGAGTTAACAAACTTCTCGCTTCATTAATATTTTGACTAGCTATCAAGTTTGAGCTGTCTGCGTACCACGTAAGTTGAGAAGCATTTTCACGAGGTTACTATTTAAAAATCATCATTTATGAGCTGTAAGGAAACCTTAACATGTTGCTTTGATCAACAACTCCTAAAGACATCATAGTAACTAACCATTAACCACTGCTTCGACAGGAAGTACTTTCATAGCATTGCTTAGACGATTCCTGGTAAAACAAGTAGCTTTTCACATTTAGACCAACTACGTCTGGATGTTGTTTTTAAGTGGATTTAACTTTTTTCTCTCAGGAGACCATGGTTTGTATACTAAATTTTTTTACGACTTGCCTTATCTGAATTATATCTCATCGGTTTTCGTTCTTGATACGATATCTGTAGATGATTACCTTACCATCGTGAATAGTAGATTACGTATCACGCCCCACAAAGAGTGAACATTATTTTGTACAAGCATCGGGTCATTCTGATTATAAATTTTGTGCTTTATTTTACTAACTTTATACTCATCAACGCAGATAATTAGGTTGCCCTTAACCTGTTTAGTAAGGTTCAGTAATCATAGATCTATATGAGGAACTCATTGACTGAATTTAAATTGATGGATGAGGAGCGTTGTACGCACGTTTTGGTGACCGAATCATGAAGCCCAATGCTCCTTAAAATCAAATTCTATTGAAACATCCCTAGACTATTTAGAGTACCTTCATGGCCATATAAATATATTATTTGGACGGTTCGGTCGACCAATATTGATCAAGAGAAAGATTTCCCCTACATTGATCACTCGTTCTGTAGTCTACGCGTAGATCTGATTTGATTCAAAGAACATGGCATTTCATATCTTCTAACCGGCTTTTCAGAGCCTATTTCGCAAGTACATTTGACAGATCAACGGTGAACTATTGTTTTAATTTATCGCATATAGGCTCATTTCTCTCAAACATTTATTTATTTATTTATGGTTTTATTCAATATTATATTTCGCTACAACATAGAATTCTCAGCACAAAATATTTCAACAAGTTTCTTTGAGGTAAAATAGTTGATTTTGACATTGTAAAGACTAAAGATGTTACACGGTCATGTCGAGAAGCAAGGCCAACAAGGTGTTTGAATTTTTTGAATTATAGTAATTTCTGGGTTTGATCCAACTCATGTCAACATCATTTTAAAATAGACAAACTTGTTTAGGTATCTGGCTTGAAGCACGTCATCTACGTTTACTGTTCCCAAGGAAGCGACTCACATTAAGCGAATTTTCGATTTTGTGTATTGATGAGCAGTTGATATTTCTAGTTTTCCACCATTTGCATATAACGTCTTCAAAACAGATTGTGGAAGTTTACCGGTCCGTAAAGACAGAGAGGGCTACAAACATTCTTGTCGTTTCTTACTCTTTGAGTGCAAGACATCACAGTGACGTTGTTATTCTGACATATGTTAGAATTACTCACAATTAGTACTTGCTATCAGGGAATACAAAGCAATTAGAACATATCTGATAGCAAAGCTTTTATGCTGATACAGCTTTCAAAGTTATATACCTTCACGGGATTTTGAGCTTTGGTTTCACTTATTTACTCACGGATTATTCATGACCATCTTAGGGGACTAAGACTAGGGAGAGTTCTTCAGCCGTTTTACATTAGCGTGGATTTTGTTAGTGATAATTCTGAATAAAAACTGTCTAATTAATAAATATTTAAATATTGTGTTTCGAAATTCTAGTTAGACTTGCCGATAATCCGTTTTGAATGTCAGTTCAAGTGGTTCTTCAATGCAACTGCAAAGAACCTTACGATATCATAGTCATAAAGAGATTAGTTTGCTAAATATACCGCAAGAAAGGACTCAAAGTGTAAGAAGTTAAAATAAAGGATTCGATGGATAGATTTGTTGCGTGTTATCAATATATAGCGGTGAAGGCATTGACTAATAATAAGTAGTTTGTAGTGTCTTGAATGTCACAGGCATCTTCCATCAATGGTCGTATGTGTGCAGGTACAGAGCAAACTTATACTATAATTCACTGTCATACCACCTGGGAACGTCCTTTTAAACATTTGTATCTTTTTGACATAAATGTCGGTCAAGGTACTTGTCACTGGATCTTTCATTATAACGTTGATGACACGTGACCTGAAGGTAGCCAAAAGTATGGAGTCAATGTCTTCTATCTAGGGACCAAATGTACTGCTGTACTTATATTTAAAAATAGATTCATTGCGATTAAAACATAAAGATATAGATTAGGCCACATTTTATTGTTAATTCTACTATAATATGCCAATATAAAAATAATTTACTAATATTTTGTATGGTAAGAGATGAGTTTCCAAACCGACACTTTAATCTTAGTCACGTATATCATGTTGATTGTTTACAACTGGAGCCACCGCCCGTTAGTTTTCTCTAAATTATATCCAAAGCTTTATCTGACTACATTCTGTCATTTTGTTCTGTAATTTTCCAGATTATCTTTTTGATTCTTCATGTGTTGCTAACATAAGTTGGTTTAAAACATCTATCTTGAAGTTTATATTCTATAAAACTCACCATCTTTATGGACAACTGTGTTACTGGTCTTTGAAATTAGTATGCATACTTGTCTTTGCCTATTAAATGACCTGCAAAACTAATCTTCCGATTAGAGTAGCTGGTAATTGGTTTCCGAATGTGAAGTTCTATATTGTGCCACTTTACTTCGTCTTGACTTTGTGGATGTACATTTCTCACAACTACCTTTAATGTTACCACGTGTAGTAATCGTTCAAAAAGTAGCAGTGGCAGAAACGATTTTCAGACCTCTATATGTTGATATTTGCTTCTATGATAATGTAATATGGGCTCTACTAGTCATCATTCTGAGTTTAATTTTTTCTTTATTATTTTTACTCTTTGAAGGAATAGTTTTCGTTGACCATGTCTTTTCTCCTTATCAACTATTTCTAACGACATTTTATTTTTGTATTTCATTCCATGTTAGATTAACTTTATTCCTTAATCTTCCACTTCAGTGTAGCTCATATTCCTGTAAGATTTGTCACTTAAGCAACAATATTGAGTTGGCCTAATTACTTACTAAATTTATCAAAGCTTTTTCAAACCCTAAATTATCATATTTTTTATAAATTCAGTTCAACTGAATCTAACTTATGTAGCAGTGTAGACGCACAGTTAGTAATCTCATTGTTCAAACTGTTGTACAGTGATATAGACTAATTACTGATCAACTGGCTGTAATAATATCTAAATAATTTTTGGTGCCGAAAACCAGCTGGACAGACAGTTTATCAAGCAAGATAGTGTTATATCGTAGCAAATAAAATAAAACCAGTTGTATCTCATTTGAAATATTGCTGATCAGAAACAGTTAATGCAATATTGACATTTAAAAAGTAATTCCTACTACTAAAAACTATCAGTACCTAAATATTAAAATAAAATGCCTTTACTATGATCGCTATGAGTTCTCTTTAAACTTTCACATGCCCAAGTGTCGAAACATATTTCTCTGAGATAAGCATTTTAACGTCTCACCGGGCTATATATAATTTCGGAATATCAATGTGATCATATTCAAAACGTGTTCATTGTACTAGAATTAGTGTAACCAGGACGAAATACTCTGGCAAACATTCAGTGCATCTACTGTTATTTAATTAGCACATGATATCTCTTTCTTTCCATTTATTACTGTAGTTAAAAGACTTATACTCTGATGTGAATAGTTTGACTTCTCGTAGTGTTTAGAGATTTTTTTAAAACAAAACAAATGTTTAAGTGAATTGTCCATTGGCTTTTGTATTCTCTAAATAAATTTATATCATCTGATGACATTATGTAATAACCCCATATCTACTTTCTTCCCACTTGTTGTTCAGCATCATGATATGAATTTTCATATTGACTTGTGGCACAAATGTATGCATCTTAGGTTTTTATTTGATTTGTTCATTATAGTAATCCATCTGCAAACTAGATCTACTTATTCTAGGATTTATGATATTTTCGATAGTGTTTACAAAGAAATTAAATTGGAAAAGACTTAATGAAACAATCAGTACTTGAGTAACGTTGGTTGTACCATTCTACCGTAGTTCAACCTAAGCTCTGTCTTAAAATGTAGAGTTAATTTACATCATCATTTATCGTGTTATTCATTGTAAGTGGGAAACTCTAACCCTCATGATTAATACTAAATATAATGGGTAAAGATATCGAGCAATGACATGAATCGTTGTGGCACATCTAGCATATCAGTAGCTAATGTGAAACTTTGACCATATAATAAGAATATGTCATGTAAGTTACAGGTACTGGGCTAGCTGGTGTAGTCCGTAGCTTTAGTGGTGACGTTTCAACAGTTGAAACGGTTATTCCAGAAGGGCTCTCAAACGAGGTGTCGAGCCTTCTGTTCTCCCACAGATTAAATGGGTTTATGAAAATACCCAGGATTCTCTTATATTTCTACTAAGTTCCTGTCCAATCAGTGCTGTAGTCACTCCCTTTCGGCGTAGGGTTTATATCTTTTAATAGGGAAAACCTAATGTTCATCCTCCGGGACGTCGATCTACCATAGTTCAAGATAAGAAACGCCTAAGAAAAAAGGCTGATTTGTAGTGCTATAAAGTCTCAAAACGAAACAATTTTCAGATTCCTATATATTGGTATTTGTTCCTATGATAGTGTAATATGTGTTCTACTAGTCATCATTCTGAGTTCAGTTTGTGAGACTTATTGTAGACTTTTCTCATTTTTCATGCTACTGATCTTCATGGTTCTTTCTTTCCCATAGATTTAATTGCTGCTTAATTATCCTTCTATGCATCCTTCCACTTGCTTTAATATCATATAATTCGGTGGTCAATCTTCGTCCGATTGTAGTTTGAACGTCTAGTTTTTATTGACAGCCTCCGTCTTCCTGGACATATAAGCCTTAAAAATCCCAT